CAGGCTACAGTGCAGTGATGCAATCATGGTGTACTGTAGCTTTGACCTACTAGGCTCAAGTGATCCTCCTGCCTCAGCCTCCCAAGTAGCTGTGACCACAGGTGTGCACTACCATGCCCAGCCAATTTTTTTTTTTTTTTTTTTTTAGAAATGGGGTCTCACTATGTTGCCCAGGCTGGTCTTGAACTCCCAGGCTCAAGCAATCATCCTCCTTGGTTTCCAAAGTCCTGGGAATATAAGCATGAGCTACCATGCCCAGCTGATAGGTTTTTGTGAACATTTTCTCTGCTAAACTGTAAGCTCCCTGAAAGTAGATCATGTGTTATTCTTTCATTTGTTCCTGGAAACTAGCACAGGGCTTGGTACATAGAAAACACTCATAAGTGTTAGCTAACCAGAGTTACACTCACATTCACCTGTGCAGCCGCCTATGGAAAAAAAATCTTGCTGCTTCTGTCTAAGAAAAAGACAGAGATCCCTGTTCTCCAGATCCCACTGTCTGTTATCACTAAGGGACAGTGTTTCTGATATCAGCTGCCCCTACCACCATGTTTTACCTATTTTCAATCCTTCTGTATATGGCATGCTTGCACTTGAGATTACTGATGTATATAACTCTCAGAATGCAGAATGCAGAGAACACACAGGAAATGAAACACAGAGGGTCATTGCTGACAGTCTTATCTGATGGTCTGAGCAGGGACGCATTACACTCTGTTTTGGCATTCTTAAACAGGATTTCTTGCATTCCCAACAGTGGCTGGTTGGTAACTCGTAAAATTTCTGATATTACAAACATACCAACATGAAAGCTCTTCTAGGTTTCTCAGTGCAGTCTGGGTGCAGTGGCTCACACCTGTAATCCCAGCACTTTGGGAGGCCAAGGCAGGTGGATCACCTGAGGTCAGGAGTTTGAGACCAACCTGGCCAACATGGAGAAACCCTGTCTCTACTAAAAATACAAAAATTAGTTGGGCATGGTAGCAGGCACCTGTAATCTCAGCTACTCGGGAGGCTGAGGCAGGAGAATCACTTAAACCTGGGAGGTGGAGGTTGCAGTGAGTTGAGATCATGCCATTGCACTCCAGCCTGGGTAACAGAGTGAGACTCTGTCACCAAAAAAAAAAAAAAAAAAAAAAAAAAAAGA